GGCGCGGGCGGGCGTCCGGCGGGCGGGGAGGCGGGGGGCGCGGGCGGGCGTCTCCCCGGCCGGGGCTGCGCGGCGTCAGCGGCTCGCTGGGCCGAGCCGGGGTGGGGACTCGGCGGCGCGGCCGGGCTCGGGTTCCCGGCTGCAGAGCGAGAGCCGGCCGGGCGGGGGCGGGCGCCTCTGCTGTGAAAGCTTAGTTAGAAAGCTGCCCCTGCAGAAAAGTCAGGGATGAATCTCTACCATTTTCCTTTTAACAAAATTGTGTGCACGCAGTTCTTCCATTAGCTCCTTGAAGGCGGAGATAGTATGCATCACAGCTCTAAAATCTTAGGACTCTAACTTGCATTCGGCTTAGAATTTACTAACGGCATGGTCTACTTTGTTTTTTAATACTTTTGAAATATGAAAGTAATCTAAAACCTAGAGGAAAAAGTTGCAACTACAGTGCAAAGAACACTTAAAAAATCATTTGACAATAAGATACCGACGAGATGCTCCGATACAACCATTAAAATCAGGAAATTAACATTGATAATTTACTACATCTAGTGCCCAAACCGCATTCAATCACCGGTTGTCGTTGGTAGTAAAAAGCTCCTGTTCAGAATAACGTATTGCATTTCCTGTCACATCTCCTTAGGCTTCTTCAATCTGTAACAATTCCTCGGTGTTTCTGACTTTCATGATCGGGACACTCGTGAAGACGACAGGCCAATCATTTTGTAGAATGTCCCTTTGTCAGTTTGGATTTGTCTGATTAGATTCAGGTTGTGTTTCTGTAGCAAGAGAATCACAGAAGTATCACATTGCATCCTCTAGGTGGAGTGATTTTGATGTGTCCTGTTAACTGAACTTAATTCGCTTGATTAAGCTTTTGCCGGGCTTCACCACTATAAATTCACTCTTTTTCCCTTTGTGATTAATACATATTTTGGGGGGAAGTGCTTTGAACCTATATAAATATCCTATTACTCATCAAACTTTCCATTTTATTCAGGTATTTATGGAATCGTAAGTAATCTAAGTATGCACTTATGGTATCCTATTTGAATAAATGGTTACAATCCATTCTATATTTGTTTGATGCTCCCGGTGTCCCAGATTTGGCCAGTGGGAATCCATTTAAGCTGACTTTTGACATGTCTTCGTCATCCTTTAGCACTTCCTTACTTCCTAGTCCAAAATATTCCATGCTTACCTTGTATTTTCTATAACCCAGCCCTAGAATCAGCCATTTTCAAAAGATCCTTGGTTCTCTTTAGCAGAGAATGGTAATTAGAAACCAAGACCTCAGTCTAGATGTGCCCATTCTTTTGATGTGTTACTGATCCTAGGCCATCTGAGTGAACAGAATTAGGGACTGTGTATGTATGTGTGGTGTGTGTGTGTGTGTGTGTGTGTGTGTGCACGCACATATTTATATTTATCTACTCTCTACTTATATTTATATCCAGGAGTTTATATCAACACCTCCAATTCTGATGCACCATGGTAGATTTTGTTTTAGTTTTTCTATCCATATTTGTAATTCCCTAAGCTTGCCAATGTAAAATTTACCTTGCTTGAGCCTATCTAATGGCTTTAGAATTGAATTGTTCAAGAAGGGAAGGAAAGAGGAAAAGAAAGAGTGTCTAAGTAGTTTGGAAATGAGCATCCTGCCAGCATCTGAGAACCGGCAATGAGCCAGTCACTGTTAGACACTTGGGATGTGCAGATAAAAAACCCAGCATCTGTCTCACAGAGCTCAGTTAGTGAGGGATAGATTTTAATGAGCCACATTTATAATGACAAAATATGAATTATGTCCAAGATGCTAAAGGAGCAGTGTGGGAAGCCCTCTTTCCCAGAGTGTCAGCTTTAGTTGGGAATGAAAGGAAAAGAAGTAGGGCTCTGGGAGGGAGGGAGAGAGGGACAGGTGGGGTAAGCCATCTTGAAACCATGCTAAGTATGGTCTCTGAAGTCCACTACAGAATTCAAAACAAGAAGCAACCTGATTAGTGTTGCATGTGGAAGTTTCTCTATCGACATAGAAACTCTTGGTCTGTCTGTATAGGTTTGGAAGAGGGGGGCATATTGAATTGGAAGGAAATATTTTTGAGTGAAGATTACTTAATTCAGTCCATAGCCAATTCAGCTGAGCTCAGTGTCCCTCTCCCTTTCTCCTTAAAGGCCAAGCAAGAGAAAAAAAAACCATATTGATTTGAAGCCTTTCCAGCCTGAGCATAGGGGCTTGTACAAATTTAAGTGTTCGTCTTACTATGTTGGAGTGCAATATGGAACAGTACTACCAAGAATAGGGAAAGAGTAGTATGGAGTTTTACTTTGTTTCTTTGAAACTATATTGTAAGTCAAGCTTCTAGTTTGTATTAACCAGTTACTGTGCATTAGCAGAGATGGTAAAAGACTCATGAGTATTCTTCTTAAGATTGTTGAAATTCTGCCACATTACTCTGAGATGCCACAAAGAGGGATGAAATGATGTCTGAAGACTGCTGGTCTAGAAACAAGAGAATCTATTAGATAGATCCTAGGGCACTGAATCACAAGTTTTCTATTGATTAGTATGTAGGGCCTACTTAACCACAATCTTCACACACTAATTTAGGTGGAATCTTTTACTTTACTATTTCCTTCTCTGCATAATGTTTTATCACTGGTTTTCTCTGATTAGCAGGATTCTCTAACTGAATTTTGATTTACCGCAGCAAACATGAAGAATACAATCAATTTTTAAACGTTCAAATCACATGGTGACTCAGTAGAAAGAACCCAGGCTTTCGGGTAAGACAGATTTTCCAATTTTCTCAGGCTACTAGTCTGCCTTTTCCCATTTGCAAATAGGAAAATAATACTTACCCCACTGAGTGTTTGTAAAGCTAAATGAACTATAATAATGCCTTCTTAATGATAATAATAAAAACAAGCATTATTAATATTATTAATTTATATCGTTCGCATAATAATGTCTTCTCACAAAAGTAGGTGTTTCATACCTCTCAGTTCTCTTCCCTTTTCTGGAGCCATTCTGTGTGGGAAGTACAGAAGAACCACACTGTGCAAGTGGGGAGAAATCTTACCTTGCATGTAAAGACCACTTGGCAATTTTTCAAAAACACTTTTACATTCACGATCTCCCTGGACAGACAAGTTCATACAAGACTCATTGTACATAGGTGGTGGATAGAATTATACACCCCCATCTTCTTCTATACATGTAAAACGTTTTCTTTCACTCAAAATTATATACAGAGAGCTAGAGAACATCAATAGTTCTTAAAAATTGAAATCCTGTCCTAAAATGTAGCAGCATCTTTACTTTCCCATGAAAAGTAGGCCTGTTATATTAGACTCTTTGTTTTTAAAAATTCGTAAAAGATTTTGAATTTAAATTTGAATCATTTGTGGGTATACCACCGCTAAGTGTATAATTATTTTAACAATAAGAAATTAAGTCACTACTTAATTTGAATTACAAATTATGAGTATGGGTTTGTAAGCATTCTCTATGTGGGTTTGAACAAGTTGTAAGTTATTCAAAAGTGTTTGATTCTTTTCTGTTGAGCTTCCTTACATAGAACTTGTTGTGGGTGCCTGGGTGGCTCAGATGGTTAAGTGTCTGCCTTCGGCTCAGGTCATGATCCCAGAGTCCTGGGATCGAGTCCCGCATCGGGCTCCCTGCTCTTTGGGAGCCTGCTTCTCCCTCTGCCCCTCTCTCTCTCTCTCTCTCTCTCTCTCTCTGTCTCTCATGAATAAATAAATAAAAATCTTTAAAAAAAAAAAACTCGTTGGAAGGCTGTTGCCGATACATTTAAACAGTGACACCTAACTGGTTAATTGGAGGCAAATTTATGTGTTAAATTCTGCTTAATACGGACTATAAAATCCTGATAAATTGTTGTTCCACAGTAACTGTGTTTAGGAGCACATTAAGGCTGTTGTCTTATCCAGCCAGTATTTTGACTTTCTTTTTTCTGTTTCAATCATTGATGATAAATCTGCCGTTGAAAAAAATTCCCAAATCATTGACCCAATTTGCACGAGCCATTATTTTAATTGTATGCACAGGGGCTTTAGCTCATCCTATCCATCATCTTTGTTTCAGTGTATTTTTTTCAAACTCAGAAACTATGAGATTGAAGATGAATAGATATTTAGGCTAGCCCTGACTTTAAAACACAGAAGCCATGCTCAATTTGGGGAATCCTGAACAAGAAGCTTTCTTCGTCCTCAGTACCAAGTTGGAATTTGGAGATCTCAATTAACCCCCTTGTGTTACATCTTGCTTTTAAGTAACCATTGCAGCTAATTAATGAACAACTTGAATGCACGTCACACATTTGCCAATTGTTCAAATGAGATAAATGATAATACCTCCAGCTTTCATGAGTTTGTTCAGGTACAAAAATGCCATGGAGGAGCCAGGGAACATAATTCCAGGTTCCCTGCATCCACACCACTGCTGGAGAGAAGGCCATGATGAACTACTTGATTTCATTTTCATGTAGATAGATTCTGATGTCTCTGAACCACTTACCAGAATATCTGGCAGAGAGGGAGTGATTGTGCTGGGAACTTACTGGGAAACTGTGCCTAGCAGAGTGTCTCCAGCACATATGCGTTGTAAAAATGCCTGTGGAATGAATGAATGACCTTGAAACCCACTGAGTAGACTTCGTAGTTCATCAATTTATTGTACACATATTAATTCTCATTTAGGATGTGTGTTTTAAAATGTACCCCAGATTTGTTTTAATCAAGTATGGTAAGATACACGGACACAGAAATGATGATATAAAGGAATAACATTCTTATATCCACACATCCTTAGAACGGGCGTCCTGGAGTGCTGTGGAGGGGCGCACAGGGAAGCACCAGGGTGAGTCAAGAAGCAGAGGAAGCGAGGGGAAAGGAGGGAAAAACCTTCATTGTGGTTTTCATGGGAAGGAATGGGTGAGGCAGGGTAAGTGGGCTTAGGATTTGGGAGTTTGAATAATGTCAGCAGGCTCTGGGGTGTAGGGACTGTTCTGAGGTATCTGGCATCTCTAGAAATGAGCTAACCCTGATCAGCAAGCGCCCAGATGCCAGAATGTCAGAAATACAGAAAATAGGAAAATATAGTTAATTTAGTAGGGGTTCAGACATTCTTACACTTCTTTTTTCTTCTCTTTCTCCTTCTTCTTTTGTAGCTAGGGTGGGCCTTCTCTGATTAGAAGAATCAGGATCCAGAAGCCCAAGGAGGCAAACACGTAAGTCGTTTTTCAATCATTTCCATTTGGGTAGGCCATGTATGGTACTTGTGCAATTCATATCTCAAATTCATCTTTGGGGTTAGATTGTCTTCTCAGCCATTTCAGTCATGGCTATAGGATAGTGATGCTCACAAGTGACTGAAAAAGGTAATTTTTTTTAAAATTGCATTGAAAAGATGGATCATTAAAAAGAGTGTTGAGTATTTGTCTCAATTCTACAATCTCCTTTGTACATAAACGCAGAAGTATGTATATTTGTGAAAGACACTGCATAGGTCCGAAGAGGCAGCGCAGAACTGTGACTAGAAGTCAGTGAGCCCAAATTTTAGTCCCAGCTCCAACTCTGATTAGCACTGTGACTTTGGACTGGTTATTCAGCTTCACCAAGTCTTTGTTTTCTCATCTGTAAAACGGGGGTGTTAATAGAAGTACCTATCAAATGATTTCTTGTGAGAGTTAAATGTGCTGTTGACAAAATGCTTAGAAATTGCCTGGCATTTGGATGATCAATAGATTAAACTACGGCTATACTTCAGTGATTTTTATAAAGTGTACCAATAGATTGACTATAAGACCAATTTTGCTACAAAGGTAAAAGTTGTTCATGGAATTGATTCTGCTGTTGGATATACATTGTATTTGCTATAGCAGTTGCAGTAAAATGAGACCATTAGCAAAAGATACAATTTTTTAAAAGATTTTATTTATTTATTTGAGAGAGAGAGAGAGAGAGAGAGAGCATGAGCAGGGGGGAGGGGCAGAGGGAGAGGGAGAAGCAGACTCTCCGCTGAGCAGGGAGCCGACGTGGGGCTTGAACCCAGGACCCTGCAGATGCTTAACCAACTGAGCCATCCAGGCGCCCCCCCCAATTTTTTTTTTTTTTTTTTGAGAGAGACAGTATGGGCACGTGTATGCAGTGGGGTGGGGCAGAGTGAGAGGGAGGGAGAGAATTCTAAGCAGGCTCTATTCCCAGCCCCGAGCCTGACTCAGGGCTCAGTCTCAGGAACCTGAGATCATGACCTGAACCGAAATCGAGAGTCAGATGCTTAATCAACTGCACCACCCAGGCGCCACAAAAGACACTATTTTTAAAAGACATGACATTTGGGAGAGGGGCATAGATTGCATTTTTCTGATTTGTTCACTAAACTTTTTTCCATTTAAAAATGGAAATGCCTAATTTTCCATCTACAATCTTTTCTTAAAGAAAACGGGTAATTCCTTGAAAAATTTTTATGTTAAAAAAATAGCACAGAGTTCTAAACTCTAACTTTTCAAACTCATGATAAGTGAGCGTATTGTTTTCCTCTGGGTGTCACACCCACTGGGTTAGTCACAAACAGCTATATTAAGGATGTTGTTCACATTTTTTAAACATTAGCATTCTGGCCCACCCAGTTCTGCTCTGATTTTAAATGCAACCTGACTTAATTTTTTTAATTTCACATAAAGAAAAATAAAAGACCCCTATGACCTGGAAGATGTTTAGAATAATACGTAATGCCATGCTTTTAAGTGTGGCAAAGTGCTTCCTAGAGTGTAGACTGGCCTTAGAGTCTGTGATGATGCAAAAGGACCCTTTTACTATGACTCAGTGCAATGTCTAATTCTATTAGTGCACTACAAAGAACAACATATAGAAGGATACATAGAACCAAAATGAAATTTTAAAGTGGCTTAGTGAGTTGAAATGACCTCAGTAATATACTAATTGAATCAATTAGCCAATTTCTTTAATGCTGATTTTGGTCTCCCGTGAGGATTCCTCAGACCAAAGGAAGGTGAGGATGAACTTGGATAATTCTGGGTGGAGAAGCCCCTTGGGTAGATCTGGAGTGAAGAGGATGTTTTCCACTGGATTTCTCTATTTTGCTTCTACATCTCTGCACCATAAGCCAGTCTGATGCCTGCTTAGAAAACACACAGCTTCTGCTGCCTTTTGCCCATGTTTTCAAAATGTCTAGGGAAGTCTTGTAGAGAAACACCAGCATGGAAAGGTGGGCGACCTCTAGTTCCAACTGGACAGTTCATTCATTATTTTTTAAGTGACTAGAATGGGCAATGCCATGCTGGTTGCTCAGATATGGCAATGAATAAGAAAGACAAGGTCTTGTCCTCATAGATCTTACATTTAGGGAATAGAGGCACTAAACAACTACTCATAATGTTAATTCTTTCCCGTTCCTAGTTTTCTCCTAGACGTGGGGGCATAGTTTGGCGCAGGAGAGGAGAGGCGGAGGCCTTTCACAGAACAGAGAGAATGTGAATGGACAGTAGCTGTCTGCCCATCACCAGGAGAGACCCTCATTCAGCCCAAAGAGAGAGAGAGAGAGAGAGAGAGAGAGGGCGAAAGGGAGGGAAAAGAAGAGGGGAGGAAGAAAAAAAGAGAGAAAGAGAGGGACAGACAGACAACAGACAGAACCCCAAGGCCTCACCAAATTCCCGGAGCAAGCTGTTCTGCAATCAGCTCCACCCTTGTATTTCCAAGTTAAGACCGTGAATGCCTCCTTGGTGCGTGGCTTCTCATTTGGATCTAAAAGAGGCCTGTCCTGAATAACATAGCTTTTAAGTATTGGCATAAAGTTGAGTATCTTCTTGAATAGCAAAGGAGTTAAAAAAAAAAAAACCTGTAATATTTCAGAAGGAGAACAAGTGATGGCTTCATGAGATTTAATCATGGGCTTGTTGACTGTTACGGTTGGAAGGGATTTACTTAGACAAAGCTTCCAATAAAGCAGAAATAACCCACTGACCACTCCTGGCAGAGGTGAACCAATCTCTAAACTAGTGGTCATCAATAGTGCTAACACTGGCCTTGGGGAGCATTCTGGAGGAAGGTGGGGGCATTTGGGGCTTGACACAATAATTTGGAGGGAGGTTACTGCTGTGAGGGAGGGATCCGGGATGCTGGGCATGCTGCAGTGTCTGGGAGTCCCACATAATCAAGAATGATCCTTCATCCTACAAGAGTTTGGACTGTGCAGCAGAATATTCCTGTAGGTTAAAAGCCTGTTTGACTGCGCTTTTTCAAAATGTCTAGGGAAGTCTTGTAGAGAAACACCAGCACTGAAAGGTGGGCGACCTCTAGTTCCAAATGAACAATTTCCATGCGCTTTCCATGTTAAACACAACCTAACTGCGCTTTCCATGTTAAACACAAGATATTTTTGCAAGCTTTCAAAATGCAGTGAATTTTCCAAGTACCCAACTACCATGTAAATCAAGGAAACATTGTACTTCATTTTATTTAGAATTTCATCAAGAGCTAGTTTCCATGTTAGAAAACACATCACTCACAGCAGGACGATTTGAGTATTTGGTATTTGATTCACTAGTTCAACACACTTGCCTACATTTGTTGCTATTGTATTCCTGATGACTTGATGGGTTCTGTCTTCTGTGGTATGGCCATGCCCTAGCACCTATATATTGAGATATCCTAGAGAACCAGATGTCTTTGACTTCTTCACTCATCAAGCTGGGCCTTTCATCCAACTCTGGCTCATTTGTTCTTTTGCTGACATAGGCACAGCCTGCCTGCTCGTGCCTCTTCTTGAAACGTCTGCTTCCCACATTCTCCTGAGGCCAAGTAGGCAGGATTACATCACCCCAACCTCCTTGCCTCAGTTGACTAGCCAGGGGTGGGTACCTGACTCAACTGGGCCAATTATGTTCTCTCTCAACCATTTGCAAGGATACATAAGGTCATTTTCTGCTGTGTGCACAGAGAAGCAAGACCATCTGATGTGCAGAGAGAGAGATGGAGGAAGCCGATGCAGAGAAAAGCAGAGATGAGCGACCATGTAGCCAAAGAGAGAAATAGACACCAGTGAGCAGCTGCTTTGGTCCTCAGAGCATTTCCTAATGCAAGTTTCTGACTTCGGGAAGCCTGGCTGACTACTCTACTGCTTATACTTGTCGTCGAATGGTGCCTGAAACGAAAGGTCGCCTTTGACTTGGCCAGATGGGTGCGGCAACTCTTCAAGACCTGAGAGTCAGGTAGAATGAGTCTTAAGCTACTCTCAGGTTGCATTTCTCCTCTAACACTTTGCTAGTTCATGTGTCTCAGTTGAACTTATGTAAGTGATTTTTAAAAACTTTTATTTGAAATTATTTAAAACTTTCTGAAAAGCTGTAGAAACAATACACCCTTTACTTGGATTCCCTAATTGTTACCATTTTACCCCATTTGTTTCATCCTTTTCCCATTCTCACTATCTCTAATTCGCTAAATAATTTGAGAGTAAGTTATGGTTATGACACCCATTACTCCTACACGTTTCCCAAAACACAAGGATACTCTCCTATATTACTACAGTATAATAATCAAAATTAGGATGCTGATATCAATATAATATTAGCACCCAATACACAAATCCCATTCAAATTTTGTTGATTTCCTCAATGGCATTCTTAATAAACACTTTTTCCTTTTTGGTTCATGTCTCTAGTCTAGGCTTTTCAATCTGGAATAGTTCCTCCTTCCTTTTTCACCTTTGTGACAGTGACTGATCAGTTATTTTGATAGAATTTCCCTCAATTTATATTTGTCTTCCATTTCCTCATGATTAGATCCCAGTTGTTAACTTTTGACAGGAATGCCATGTATGTGATGCCATGTTCCTCTTAGTACATCATATCAGGAGGCACATGATGTCAATTTGTCCTATTTCTGGTGATACTGACTTTTAAACTTAAATGAAATGGACAGGTTTCTCCACTGTGAAGTTAATTACTAAGTATTGTGTACTTCCACCCACCAGTATTAACTTCCATTGATGATTTTTATCTGAATCAATTATCACTATGATTTTTACCAAATGGTGATTTTTTTCTAAGTCCATCATTCCATCTACACTTCTTACTTAGCATTCTACTATAACGTAGACTTTCCTCCCCCACATATTCATTCAAAATACTCAATATAAGCTCATGGATTCTTTTTTTTATTCAACTGGTTATAACCCATACAGTCATTAAGATTTGGCTGTTCAAATTTTCCCAGCTTTGGCCAATGGAACCCGTTTCAAGCAGGTCATCTTGTCTCCCTGACTCTCTCCATACGTACCAGCCAAGAGAGTCCTGTGTACTTCCTCTGGTCATGCTGACTTGACACCATCCCCAACCCTGTACCATACCCATATGCCAGGTAGCTATGAATCTAAATGCTGAACTCCACACAGCTTTTAATAGCCTTTATTTCAGCTACTCTTTTAGGTTATTGAGATCATTTTTGAATTTTGATTCTGTCATCTGTGCATTCGCTGTTCCTCCTGCTCTTAAGCTACCCAGGCTTTTAATACATTTTTATTCACATTGTTGAGAAAATCTTGAATACAACAGGGGCCAAGACTTTTCTACTATCAGAGACACTTTTTCCAGGTGGAATTGATACATTAATACATACTTTTGTATGTTGTTGTTCAACCAGCTCCAAACTTAGATTTAATGACTATCCAGTTTGCAGTTATTCACTGTGACCACAAGCATGTCTTGAAATTTTTCTCTAATAGTGTGCCAAAATTAAAATGCATTCTGTCTACTCATAGTGTAGTGACCTTATAAAAAATAAAATTGTTAGTTTGACCTAAGATACAGTAAATGAACCCATGCTGACTTTTACTGCTCATTGCCTTCTTATCAGAGGGGCTAAGTAACTTGCTCAAAGTATAGCTAAGTGAAGACCTGGAATTTGAACCCAGGCTGGTATATCTATCTCTAAAGCTTTGCTTCTTTCACAATGCCTCTGTCACTTTACATGGGGATGGAGAAGGACCTCCTCTTTCTCTTTTTACATTTTTTTAAAGATTTTATTATTTATTCATAAGACAGAGAGAGAGGCAGAGGGAAAAGCAGGCTCCCCACTGAGCAGGGAGCCCGATGCGGCACTTGATCCCAGGACGCTGGGATCATGACCTGAGCCGAAGGCAGACGCTTAACCATCTGAGCCACCCAGGCGCCCCATCTCTTTTTATATTTTGTGTTACTTTAAGGAGACATTGTCGGAGTGCAGTCTTGGCACTTAGGTGTGCTGAAGGGCAAGTCAAAGTTTACCCTGGAGGGGCGAGTTACCATTACCTCAGTTCTCTGGGAGTAGACAGGCAGCCATTCTTCACAGTTTCTTGAGTCCTTCCCAAAATGTCCTACTGCATTGCCCATTTGATGTGTAGATTGAAACCTAACTTAGAAAAGCAGATAGTGAGTCTCTTTGACTAAGAGCAAAGCGTTTCTAAAACGCAATTATGAAATGAAATTATTTGTACATGTGAAATATTTACCCAACATTATTTCATCTCTCAGAACACCAGTATTTCAAGAATTATGCAGCTGTTTAGTTCAGGGAAAGTTAAAAATTTTGTTGTTGTTGTTGCCTTCTCTTTTAAGCCCTTTAATCTGAGGCTCACTACAGCTTGGAAATGCCACAAAAGCCACGAAAGCTATCCCCACTCAATGAAGGTGGCTTTGCCAGACAAAGAAAGAAGAGGAAACAAACAGAAATCTCCTTAAGTACTAGGAATGGCCCCTTGAGGCTGTTTTGCTGGATTTGGTGAATGTTGTGTGCAAAGATCACAGTCTTGTGGTTGTGGTCGTGTTGAAGGGATAAGAACCCAGGAAGAAGAAAGATTCTGAACAAAGGAAGATTGAAGTTCACTAGCAGGGACAAGAGTCCCCATGGAGGAGTCTGTAAATTCAAGAGAAGTGGTGGGAGTCCTCATTTCAATGCTTAGAGATGAACTGCTCAAAATAACAGAGGCACTTGTGTGCGGAGCAATCCCAAGCTGGTGGCTGCTCAGACAAGTCCACCCGCCAGGATTTGGCCACTTACGGCTCTACAGCTTTATAAGCTTCTGGGATAAGGGCTCCCTGCTTCCCACCTCTCAGGAAAATGGCCCGTGGGCCCCGAAGCCCATCTATCCTGTGATGCGCCTGAAGCTGAGTGAGCCTGCGGGCCCTGGAAAAGAACCCTGCAAGTACACTGATTTTTTTCCATACAAATATCTCTTTTTCTCTACAGGATCTTCATGAAGAAGTAGCATTTCCATCACCTGTTGTCATCAAATAAATAAAGATATTTTCTCCTGGTTTCATTCACTGTTTGAACACAATATTGTTGAGACTTCTGGTGGCCCACCTTCCCCCATCTATTCTCCACTTCATCCAAAGTAGTTGAAGCACAATGTTTGGCAGGGACACATTGCTGCCTGGAATAAAGACCACATTGGACAACTTTTCTCTTAGCTGCAGGCAGCAGTGTGTGTAAGATTTGGCCAGTGACATAGGTAGAAGTGCTACTGGAAAACTTCCAAGAAAACATCCTTAAAGGACTGTGTGAGCATGCCCTTTGTCTGCTCCTGAGAACATGGATATGATGACTGGTCACACTGGGCCACGGGGAAGGAGACCACAGCCTGGGGTTGGGAGAAAAGAAAGCTAAAAGGAGCTTTTACTTGAGGTCTTATCTTAGTAAAACCACCATCACAGTTCAGGACTACTGAAATTCAGATGTCCATGAAGACTGGAATAAACTGTTATTTGGGGAATCCAAATTTCTTTTATCTGCAGCCACTCGTCCTACTTGATAGTAGCACAAATCAGTATAAATATTAATATTAGTATAAGCAATACTAGAAACAAGTCACTGACCATTGCTCTATACTGACACTTCAGCTTTTTCTTTTAAGATTTCATTCATTTATTTCACAGAGAGAGAGAGAGAGAGAGAGAGAGAGAGAGGGTGCACACAAGCAGGGAGAGCGGCAGCAGAAGGAGAAAAAGAAGCAGACTCCCCGCTGAGCAGGGAGCCCGATGCGGGACTCAGTCCCAGGACCCCGGGATCATGACCTGAGCCAAAGGCAGATGCTTAACCAACTGAGCCACCCAGGTGCCCTAGCTTTTTCTTTTTATCACATGTCCTTTCAGTCTTGCCCTGAAATACTGACATATAATTTAAGGGAATTGTCAAATTTCCAACCTGCCTACCTGAATATTAACATAGAAAAAAATGGTCACATGATTAATTTTTTTTTTCTAAGCGAAATTGCAGCCAATGATACCAACATTAAGATGTCAGGCAAAGCAGACAGCTGACTCTACATACTTCTTTTTTTTCTTTTTAAGTTTAGGACACTAAAGGAGCAACAGAGTTTCTGAAACTGAAGGCTCTGGTCCCGTGTATGTGTTCCTTCTCTCTGAATCCCTCCATTCTCTGTCTCCCCAGAGATTAGGGGAGAGATGGGTGGCTCAGTTGGTTGACCATCTGGCTCTCGGTTTTGGCTCAGGTCATGATCTCATGGGTCGTGACATCAAGACCCACACTGGGCTCTGCATTCAACTCAGAGTCTGCTTGGGATTCTTTCTATCTTCCTCTCCACCGCCCGCCCGTCTTCCACTCCCCCCGGGCTCACGTGTGTGTGTGTGTGTGTGTGTGTGTGCACGCGCGCGTGCACTCTCTCTCTCTCTCTCTCAGTCTCTCTCAAATAAACCTAAAAAAAAAAAAAGAAAACTCAGGAGAGAGATAGGCTAGAGACATAAGATGGGAATCATCAATCTAAAGGTGACAATGAAAGCAAAGGAATGAAAAAAAATCACACAGGAGTAAGGAGATGAGTAAGAAGAGAGTCCCTGATGGATTTCTGCAGAAAGTTCACATTTAAGTAACGCATAGAGAAAGAGATCTTCCTAATGAAGACTGTGAGGGAGTGGTTAGAGACGCTGAAGAAAAACAAAACATTATCAATGTCTTCTATTGATCAACTGATAAACAGCATCAACTTTCTGTGATCTGGAAAATAAGACATGAATTGATAGATGGTCACTTGGATCTAGCAACTAGGAGGCCATCAGTGATGACCAACACACGAGCAGTTTCAGGTGGCAGGAATGGGGCCTGGGGAGAGGTTCAGGCAAAAGGTGGGGCAGGGCAAGATTCTGTGCATAGATATATCTAAGACTATTTCCAGCACACAAACTGTTGGGCTGCTCTTTGTTTGCATTCAATGGCAAAGTCAGTTAAAAAGTCAGTTGTTTGACTGAGTGGGCCTTCCAAGTCCTTTGAAGCAAATTAATATTTGTGTGCAAACCTAGTCTATGGTAAAAGAAAGAGAAAACTGGAAAGCAGCCTTTCTTGGAGGGTAAAAATCTCCTTTATGGCACCACAGTCCTGCCAAAATGCCTCTCAGGGGCATCTGGAAACGGAATGGAAGCCACCACTTGCTTGAATAGTCACATTAGCCTTGAAAGGCATTAGACATCTCAGCAAATGCTCTACTGCTTCCAGAATTAAGCACTTACCACACGGAGGGAGGCTGAAAAGTTAGAAAGAAGAAACCCGGGTAAAGAGCCTGAGAAACTGACCTGCCTTTTGAGAGCTAGAATTAGGATGGAAATTTGGAACTTGGAAGACTTTCTGGTTTTTCCCACTGTTTCTATTTTCTGTAATTATTTCCTTTTCGTAAAAGCTTGCTATTTTGTAAAGTTCTCTGATATGTAAAGACAGTTTCTTATTATCTCTGTTTCTCAGTGCTTTGTGTTATCGTGTGCTAAATATATTTCACCATTTCATTTACTTCGGGCTGAAGTACTGACACCATTATGTGACTTCTCCACATCCACCTCCGAGCTGCACATTTCAAAGATAAATCACTGTAATTATTTATCCTCTTCAGCAGCAGGAGGTGTAAAAGCCAAGCTAATATGCACCTTTAGCCCATTTGAATGAGTCTTTGAAAACAAATTGCTCAGAACTCTTAACTTTGACTCTGTATTTCTAGAACCCCTAATAGTATGAGATAATTGAGGTTTGTGGAATGAGTTGGGAAATTTTACTTATTTTTCAAAGACTCCCAACCATAGCTTCATATTTATTAGGATTCTTATTGAGTCCTACAGGGTCAGTCTTCAGGGTTGGTCAGTCCTCACCAACAACCTCAGAAAGAACCTGAAAACTAGAGGTTTGGAATTCAGAGTGAACACTTTCGAAGCTAGGGCTTGAGAAGTTTCTATTTGGTTTCTTTGGTTTATTTTTAGAAGGGAATTCTTGTCTCCCTAGCACTTTTCTTAGGTAACTTAAAATGCAATCATTATCACAAATTCGAATTTCCTTCTCTTCCTGATGGCAGAAAATGAAGTTTGCTAAAATTTATTTCCTATTCCACTCTGAGGTGGAAAGAGAAGTTTTCTGAAAAATTCTTTCCTTAAGTGGATGGACAAAAAATTGCCCATATTGTAACTTGACCTGACTTTGAAAGGGTTATATGCATAAAGGCAATCACTATTTTTATTCGGGAAATGTACCATCAGGGCCTTCATGTCAAATGTAACCTCTTACCGCAACAGAGTTGCCAAGTTCTACTAATTTATTTTATTTTATTTTTTTTCCCTGCTGGACAAATTTCTTGGTTCATTGTTAGAGAGTTCCTGCCAGGTTCTTGGGAAAAACTTTGGCTGGTCAGAAGTGGTTCATGGCTTCCTTCTCTCTACCTCTGCCTTTTTTATTTTAAATACTTTCAAAATGCAATCTCTTAATCACATGCTATACAAGGAAATCTTGATGGAAAATACTAGGGTTTAAAATTTCTCACATAAGCAAATTTTTTTAGATGATGGAAGTTAATCATAGCAGAAGCCAAGAATATAATTTGTGGAATTCCAATTTGTTGAAGGCTAGTTTTCCAAAAGCTGATTTATAGAATATTCTAATAAATCACATTTATGTGAATATTGTAAATTTTTAAAAATATTCAATTTCTCAAAATTTAGCATGTTCTATGGGAATCCATCATACTTTTTCTTAATATACAGGATCATTTTAGGTAAATTCTGATTCATTTTAGATGGTTTTAAACTTGAAATAAAAATTTAAAGCTGATAGAGATGTGACAATATTCCTGTTAAAGCTAACAAATATGTCTGAAATACCAATAAATCTGCTAAGTTGTTTGTTCGGTAAATTTGCCTGATGCTAATTTAATGTGTGGTGACTAGATTAAGACATGTCTACCCTGTATAGTGCAGTATGTACCCTGCATATATTCAGGGCATTATTCACATGAACTATGTTGTGAATGGGTCCACTCACAGTTGTGCAGCACAGAGACCCTAGACCTAAGATAGATCATAACCCTAACCCTAACCCTAGCCCCAACCAAGTAGCAAGTTGGGAGCTCCATTAACCAGACCAACAATTCCAATCTAATTTGGAGGAACACACATATCCTAGAAGTTCAAATTAAGAGGATAAAGTGAGACCAGAAGCATAGCTTGTAGGATAAGTTAGAATTATCTGGAGGAGATTTTCAAAATTCTTATATCCAAGTTGTGCCCCAGACCAATTAGTTCTTGGTAGGATCCAAGCATGAACTTTTTTTTTTAAAGATTTTATTTATTTATTTATTTATTTATTTATTTATTTGAGAGCGAGAAAGAGTGTGCATGCATGAGCAGGGGGAGGGGGAGGGGGAGAGGGAGAATCTCAAGCAGACTCGCAGGGCTGGATCTCACAACCATGAGATCATGACCTGAGCCGAAATCAAGAGAGTTGAACCCTTAACTGACTGAGCCACCCAGGTATGAACTTTTTTTTTTTTATTAACATATAATGTATTATTTGTTTCAGGGGTACAGGTCTATGATTCATCAGTCTTACACAATTCACAGTGCTCACCATAGCACATACCCTCCCCAAGTTCCATCACCCAGTCACCCCATCCCTCCCACCCCCACTCCAGCAACCCTGTTTGTTTCCTGAGATTAAGAGTCTCTTATGGTTTATCTCCCTCTCTAGTTTTGTCTTGTTTAATTTTTCCCTCCCTTCCCCTATGATCCTCTGTCTTGTTTCTCAAATTCCTCATATTAGTGAGATCATATGATACTTGTCTTTCTCTGATTGACTTATTTCGCTTAGCACCATCCATGTCATTGCAAATAGCAAGATTTCATTTTTTATGGCTGCATAATATTCCATTGTATATATATAACCACATCTTCTTTATCCATTCATCTGTTGATGGAAATCTAGGCTCTTTCCATAATTTGGCTATTGTGGACACTGCTGCTATAAACATTGGAGTGCATGTGTCCCTTCGGATCACTGCATTTGTATCTTTGGGGTAAATATCCAGTAGTGCAGTTGCTGGATCATAGGGTAGCTCTATTTTCAACTTTTTGAGGAACCTCCATACTGGTTTCCAGAGTGGCTGCACCAGCTTGCATTCCCACCAACAGTGTAGGAGGATTCCCCTTTCTCCACATCCTCCCCAACATCTGTCGTTTCCTGACTTGTTAATTTTAGCCATTCTGACTGGTGTGAGGTGGTATCTCACTGAGGTTTTGATTTGTATTTCCCTGATGCCGAGTGATGTTGAGCACTTTTTCATGTGTCTGTTGGCCATTTGGATGTCTTCTTTGCAGAAATGTCTGTTCATGTCTTCTGCCCATTTCTTGATAGGCATGAACATTTTTAAAAGCTTCCTGAGTGATTGCAATATGCAAATGTTATATAATAAATAATTGGATTGGCATTTGTCCCTGGTCCTTAGGGAGGAGAGAAACTCCAAATTCTTGGAATTCCTCCAGTGATAAGAGTGTCTTTGTTTTTCCATAGTGAGCCCTTGGACCACACCTGAGTTTATGCTAAGTAGATGACTCAGATCGGGGGCTGGTCATGCCTGAAAGACCAACCATTGGATTAAAAGTCTTGAGCCATAGTGATATTAGCATAAACTTTCAACTTCCAAGGAGGTGAGAAAGGCTAGAGATTGAGTTCAATCATGTAGCCAATGATTCCATCAATTATGCCTACATAATGAAACTTCAATAAAAACTCTGGGCACTGTGGCTTGGTGAACACATAGATATGCTAGGAGGGTGATGGGTCCTGATTCCATGGGGAGAAGGCATGGAAACTCTTTATGTGAGACCTCCAGACCTCACTCTATGTGACTCTTCATTTGACTGGTCCTGATTTGTATCATTTACAAAAAAACTGACAATCAGATGTGTAGCACTTTCCTGAGTTCTGTAAGTCATTCTAGAATATTATCAAACCTGAAAGAGTAGTACAACCTCCAAATTTGCAACTAATTGATTGGAGATTGGAAGTGCAGGTGGCCTGGGGACCCTGAACTTGCAGCTGGTACCTGAAGTGAGGGCAGTCTTATTGGGGACTTCCCTTAAACCTGTGGAGTCTGATGCTAACTGTAGGTGATTCACATCAGAATTGAATAGTGGCATTATAAAGATTTTATTTTATTAGTCAGAGAGAGAGAGGCAGGCAGAGGGAGAAGCAGGCTTCCCCACTGAGCAAGGAATCCAATGATGTGAGGCTTGATCCCAGGACCCTGGGATCATGACTTGAGCCAAAGGCAGATGCTTAACAGACTGAGCCACCCAGGCGTCCCCAAATAGTAGTACTATAGCAACAAAGTTGAGAACCACTCTTCTAGGAAAAGATGCTTCAGAGCATTAAGAGAGTGCCAAAATCAAGTTGTCCATCCAGGTCAAGGCAGGGACATTATCAGGGTCCAATTAGCATGGGGTAGTGTGGAAGGAGTATGAGGGCAGGCAGGAATGAGATAGAGGTGCTTGGCCTCAAAGTTCCATCTGGGAATGAGAGTAGAAATTATAAACCAGGACATAAAGTCAGTCATGAAAAGTACCTATATGTTGTGGGACACTAGAGCTCAGTGCTCAAACAGATAAGCTCCATTGTCCCCAGAGGCAGGCACATTGTCCCCCAGAGGCTTTGACACACAGCCACAGACTCTTGGTGGTGGAGCATCACCCCCAGCAAAAGTCATTGGATGGAAGCTCTCTATTTCACCAGGGCTGGTTTCATGAGTAAGGCGGGGTTGAAACGGCTAGTCCTGGAATTATGGTCATTATGGGTGGATGGATCTGGAGTCAGTAAATATAAGATTTAAATAATCTAAATTCTTCCCATAAGTGGCTTCTTAAAAAAAATATGCTGAACATACAATAATTTGAATATATCTTGTGTCTTGCATTTCTTGATATGGAAAGCTGAATGAGAAGCTCTTGTCAAGGGTGGGATGTCACCAAGCAAGGTCAGGTGACTGGCTGACTTCCAAGAAGCGGCATTCATCCTCAAGAATCTGCCACAGTCCGGAGCCTTTCTCAGCTTTCCAGGTGCATCATTTTCATCTTGCTACCACTCTAAAGTTGATTCTTCTTGGACAAGCTGATTCACACTGAAGTAAGCCTCGGGTGTCTGAAGTGTATAACCCAAATGTGTGTGAATTCATAATACATCAATAGGAATGGGCTTTCTCTATACAAAGAACTGCTTGGGGAAAAAAAATGTTGTGGGGTGAGCATGCAGTTAGAACAAGACGAATCTGTTGTACCACACTTAGAACGTCTGATGCTTTGAAGCCCTGTGAGACAGATGGCAGCCATCTCCACCGTGGGGTGGGCACACCCACTCTCTGACTAGACTTCCGCCTCCCTGCGTGGTATCAGTCAGACCCTGCAAAGCTTGCCTCTGCAACTGTCCATTTGTTTTGCTTTCTTTATTGATCAATGCTTTCTGCTGATTGATTCATCTTTTCTTTAGATGTGTTATTAACTGTAATTGGGTCACTGCCAAATCTCGCAGGCCCGATAGCCATTTTGTCTCTTTATCAAGGTGACTTTACATGGTTCTCTGCTGGCCCATCATGGAGTGATTTGACTCTCAGAGTACAATTTTCCAAATTTTCTCCTGATTTAAAAACACATTTTTAACTGAAAATATATAAAAATATAAACATCCCTCATAATTCTACCACCTCATTGGAACATAATTATATTCTCTTTACTTACAAAGTTTTTTCTGGATTTCTGTGAGTATTCTGTTTTATTTATTTATTTGTTTATTTATTTAATCTACTAAGAGATAATTTGCATATAAAATCCACCTCTCTTAAGTGTAGAATTCATTGATCGTTTTTAAATACATGGAGTTGTATAGTGATCATCACAATCCAAGTTCAGAACATTTCTGTCAGTTCAAATTGATTTGCAATCTCCATTCCTTGCTCCAGTTCCAACAACCACTAATCTATATTCTGAATCTACAGATTTGCCTTTCTGGACATTTCATAGAAATGGAATCATGTGATCTTTTGTTACTTAGCATAATGGTTACTTAGTTCATCGATGTTGCAGCATGTATTTGCAATCTGTTCCTTTTTACTGCATAATAGACTTCCATTGTGTGGATATGCCACATTTTATTTATCCATTCACTGCTTGATGGAAGTTTGAATGGTTTCCACTTTTCAGTTATCATGGATAATGATGCTTTGAGCATTTATGTGCAAGTCTTTGTATGGACATATGTCTTCATTTCTCTTGGGTAGATACCTAGAAGTGAAATTGCTGCACTATATGGTAAATTTATGTTTAGCATTTTAAAAGACTGTCAAATTCTTTTCTAAAGTGGTCATGCCATTTTGACTTACCACCAGCAAAGCATAAAGTTTCCAGCTTCTTCACATCATTGCCAACACTTGGTATTATCTGACTTTTTGAATATAGCCATTTTAAGTAGGTATGAAGCAGTATCTCACTGTGGTATTGATTTGCATTTTCCTAATAACTAATGATGTTACATGTCTTTTCATGTGCTTATTAGCCACTTGTATATCTTCTTTGGTGAAATGTTCGTCAAGCCTTTTGTCTCTTTTTTTAAGTCCAGGTGTTTGTCTTATTATTGATTTGAAAGAGTTCTTCATATATTCTAGATACTAGTCCTTTATCAGATACATGATTTGCAAACATTCTCTTTCTATAACTTATCCTTTCATTTCTTAATGGTGTCTTTTGAAGTACAAAAGGTTTTAATTTTGATGCAGTCAAATTTAGCATCCTTTTACAACTTGCTCTATGATCTATTTTGAATTACTTTTGTGTGTATGATGTGAGAGGTTAAGGATCTAAATTCATCTTTCTGCATGTGCGTATCTAATTATTCCAGCACTATTTGCTGAAAACACAATTCACATTGAATTTTCCTTACCCTTTTCCAAAAATCAATTGACCATAAATATTTCTAGACTCTAAATTCTGTTCCATCAATTTATATGTTTTTTTATATCAGTACCACAGTGTCTTGATTACTGTGGTTCTATACTGAGTTTTGAAATTAGAAAATTTGTTCTTCTTCTTGGCAATTCTACTCTGCTTTTTGAGTTATAGTCACCACTTGGTATGGTTTTTCTCTTACCTCTCTTGCTGTTGTTCCCACACCTGGTTGCTGTCAGGGTATCCGATACTAGAACACTCTCCTTCTTCTCTGCCTCCTCCTCCTTCTTTTTCTTCTTGTTCTTTTCACCAGCTTCCTTTAATTATATGCTTTGGTCTGGAAATGAAAGAACACTGTCTTATATTGATGCCATGCTTTCTATTTCTCCCACCATGCATGGGTCCCCAGCACAGAGAGGACTGGGAAATCATAGCCCCTGGTATAGTTTCAGAATGGAGAACACTCTCTCACTCACTCCTATATTGACACATGAAGCTTATAATAAAGGAGGCAATTGTCCAACTGTATTCACTAGTTTTACTTTATCCAGGGAACTGAGTTCATATCTGGACACACAATATGAGTTTTTCCAGTAAATACAATTTGTTTCCCCTCTGAGACATCAACTTTTTCCTCACCTAAGGCCATGCACTTCCAGTCAAGTCTTTATTTCTTAATCCTACTGAGCAGCATATTGCACTCTTTTGGTAACAGTGGTGAGTTCAGAAGAAAGCATGTGACACATTCAGAGCTACTAACATACAACGAAACTTTTTCTGGATTTCTGAAAGATTCCCATTCGGCCTACTAGACTTGAGATTGCAGAAAGGTAAGGCTGTATTTTTTTTTTTAACCATGTTGCTCTTCTGAGGGAAAAGCCTCCCTGGATATCTTTCTTAGAGAAATGGAGCTGGGAAATGAGAGAGAGAGTGAATCCTGATTCTGGCCATGTTCTGTGAGCCCCTGTTCCAAACCATGCCTTGAATGAAACTTACTCTGGAGTTTTTTAATTATGTGAGCCAATAAGGTTTCCTTTTTGCCAAAGCTAACTGGGTTTTGTTTTTGTTTTTTGCTACATGCAACCAAAATACTTTTTACTGATTCAGTTTAAGAGAGACACTGATAATTTAGAATAAACCCAGAGAAGAATTGCCAGGGGAGGTGAGTGTGACCAGAACTGTGTCAAAGGGGAAGAAAGGGAAGAGTTTGACTTGAAGAAAGAAGGTCTGGTGTGTATGTGTCGCGGGAGAGGAAGGATGTTAACGGTATGGGGGAGGAAACTAAAGAAAGAGAAATATCTCCAAATATTTAATTAGAATTATTGATAAGAAGGTCCTGGGAAACATATTTCAACTCAAACTGTTAAAATTTTAACAACTTAATGTGTCTATAAATGGAATGAATTACACTGACAATGTTTGCTATGTCCAGAAGGGTTTTAAATGATTTACCAGAGATCTTGTAGAGTGAATTCAAGTAACCCAATGGATGGTGTTTTTTTAGAACTTAGTCATTTGAGTATCATCTTTATAATTTTTGCCATATGAGAAAGGTACAACTTGTACCATCTTTTGTTCAGGAATTTCCTTACATCAACTCCTTATTCTTGTCTAAGTAAGTTTATTTTAGAATGAAACTTGAATTCACTTCAATAAATTAAAAAAAAAAAGAATCAGTGGCCAAAAATAAATGTAATAAAACAAAACAGTGTTATTAAATCCTAACTAGAATTTGCCTGGCCAAAGCTCTGTGTCTGTGATCTGGGCTCTCTTTGTGAAAAGGAAAATTAATAGTTCAAGATATGATAACACCAAACTGATCATTTATCTTTCTCTAGTCAGAAGGATTAAACAAGAATTGAATAGGAAAGTTTTTTCTCACTAAGCAATTCAGTGTTTTTAATGGCATGCCTGTGTGCCACCTAAAATCATCTATCTATTCATACATTTGGAAAGCCTCCAGCCTGGGTGTAATTCACACAAGAGCTTCCCAGTCTTTTCACAACTTGTCACACACAGAGAACAATATTATGTGGCACACTGGGGTAAACTAAGTCAGCTGCTCACCACCTGAGACGACTAGCCCAGGGGAGCTGACTCTGGCCCAGGCAGCATGCCACCCCCACCGTTGGGGTGGAGGAGATGAATATATTGACACACAAGTCACTCTTTTTTGTTTTAATTTTTATTGTTATGTTAATCACCATACATTATATCATTAGTTTTTGATGTAGTGTTCCATGATTCATTGTTTGTGGATAACACCCAGTGCTCCATGCAGAGCGTGCCCTCTTAAATACCCATCACCAGGCTAACCCATCCCCCCACCCCCTCCCCTCTAGAACCCTCCTCAGTTTGTTTTTCAGAGTCCATCGTCTCTCATGGTTCGTCTCCCGCTCCGTATTCCCCCCCTTCATTCTTCTTCTTTTTTTTCTTAACATATATTGCATTATTTGTTTCAGAGATACAGATCTGTGATTCAACAGTCTTGCACAATTCACAGCACTCACCATAGCACATACCCTCCCCAATGTCTATCACCCAGCCACCCCATCCCTCCCAACCCCCACTCCAGCAACCCTCAGTTTGTTTCCTGAGATTAAGAATTCCTCATATCAGTGAGGTCATATGATACATGTCTTTCTCTGATTGACTTATTTCGCCCAGCATAACACCCTCCAGTTCCATCCACATCGTTGCAAATGGCAAGATCTCATTTCTTTTGATGGCTGCATAATATTCCATTGTATATATATACCACCTCTTCTTTATCCATTCATCTGTCAATGGACATCTTGGCTCCTTCCACAGTTTGGCTATTGTGGACATTGCTGCTATAAACATTGGGGTGCACGTACCCCCTTCGGATCACTGCATTTGTATCTTTGGGGTAAATATCCAGTAGTGCAATTGCTGGATCACAGGGTAGCTCTATTTTCAACTTTTTGAGGAACGTCCATACTGTTTTCCAGAGTGGCTGCACCAGCTTGCATTCCCACCAACAGTGTAGGAGGGTTCCCCTTTCTCTGCATCCTCCTCAACATCTGTCATTTCCTGACTTGTTAATTTTAGCCATTCTAACTGGTGTGAGGTGGTATCTCATTGAGGTTTTGATTTGGATTTCCCTGATGCTGAGCAATGTTGAGCACTTTTTCTTATGTCTGTTGGCCATTTGGATGTCTTCTTTGGAAAAATATCTGTTCATGTCTTCTGCCCATTTCTTGATTGGAATATTTGTTCTTTGGGTGTTGAGTTTGATAAGTTCTTTATAGATTTTGGATACTAGACCTTTATCTGATATGTCATTTGCAAATATCTTCTCCCATTCTGTCGGTTGTCTTTTGGTTTTGTTGACCGTTTCTTTTGCTGTGCAAAAGCTTTTTATCTTGATGAAGTCCCAATAGTTCATCTTTGCCCTTGCTTCCCTTGCCTTTGGCGATGTTTCTAGGAAGAAGTTGCTGTGGCTGAGGTCGAAGAGGTTGCTGCCTGTGTTCTCCTTTAGGATTTTGATGGACTCCTATCTCACAATGAGGTCTTTCAACCATTTGGAGTCTATTTTTGTGTGTGGTGTAAGGAAATGGTCCAGTTTCATTCTTCTGCATGTGGCTGTCCAATTTTCCCAACATCATTTGTTGAAGAGACTATCTTTTTTCCATTGGATATTCTTTCCTGCTTTGTCAAAGATTGGTTGACCATAGAGTTGAGGGTCCATTTCTGGGCTCTCTATTCTGTTCCATTGATCTATGTGTCTGTTTTTGTGCCAGTACCATACTGTCTTGATGATGACAGCTTTGTAATAGAGCTTGAAGTCCGGAATTGTGATGCCGCCAGCTTTGCTTTTCTTTTTCAACATTTCTCTGGCTATTCGGGGTCTTTTCTGGTTCCATACAAATTTTAGGATTATTTGTTCCATTTCTTTGAAAAAAGTGGATGGTACTTTGATGGAGATTGCATTGAATGTGTAGATTGCTCTAGGTAACATTGACATCTTCAAAATATTTGTTCTTCCAATCCATGAGCATGGACGTTTTTCCATTTCTTTGTGTCTTCCTCAATTTCTTTCATGAGTATTCTAGAGTTTTCTGCGTACAGATCCTTTGCCTCTTTGGTTAGATTTATTCCTAGGTATCTTATGGTTTTGGGTGCAATTGTAAATGGGATCGACTCCTTGATTTCTCTTTCTTCTGTCTTGTTGGTGTATCAGAATGCCACTGATTTCTGTGTATTGATTTTATAACCTACCACTTTACTGAATTCCTGTATGAATTCTAGCAGTTTTGGGGTGGAGTCTTTTGGGTTTTCCACATAAAGTATCATATCATCTGCAAAGAGTGAGAGTTTGACTTCCTCTTTGCTGATTTGGATGCCTTTTATTTCTTTTTGTTGTCTGATTGCTGTGGCTAGGACTTCTAATACTATGTTGAATAGCAGTGGTGATAGTGGACATCCCTGCCGCGTTCCTGACCTTAGGGGGAAAGCTCTCAGTTTTTCCCCATTGAGAATGATATTCACTGTAGGTTTTTCATAGATGGCTTTTATGATATTGAGGTATGTACCCTCTATCCCTATACTCTGAAGAGTTTTGATCAAGAAAGGATGCTGTACTTTGTCAAATGCTTTTTCTGTATCTATTGAGAGGATCATATGATTCTTGTTCTTTCTTTTGTTAATGTATTGTTTCACATTGATTGATTTGCAGATGTACCAACCTTGCAGCCCAGGGATAAATCCCACTTGGTCATGGTGAATAATCCTTTTAATGTACTGTTGGATCCTATTGACTAGTATTTTGGTGAGAATTTTTGCACCCATGTTCATCGAGGATATTGGTCTGTAATTCTCCTTTTTGATGGGATCTTTGTCTGGTTTTGGAATCAAGGTAATGGTGGCCTCATAAAAAGAGTTTGGAAGTTTTCCTTCCATTTCTATTTTTTGGAACAGTTTCAGAAGAATAGGTATTAATTCTTCTTTAAATGCCTGATAGAATTCCCCTGGGAAGCGATCTGGCTCTGGGCTTTTTTTGAGGTGGGGGGGGAGATTTTGGTGACTGCTTCAATTTCCTTAGTGGTTATAGGTCTGTTCAGGTTTTCTATTTCTTCCTGGTTCAGTTTTGGTAGTTGATACATCTCTAGGAATGCATCCATTTCTTCCAGGTTATCTAATTTGCTGGCATATAGTTGCTCATCATATGTTCTTATAATTGTTTGTATTTCTTTGGTGTTGGTTGTGATTGCTCCTCTTTCATTCATGATTTTGTTGATTTGGGTCATTTCTCTTTTCTTTTTGATAAGTCTGGCCAGGGGTTTATCAATCTTGTTAATTCTTTCAAAGAACCAGCTCCTAGTTTCGTTGATCTGTTCTACTGTTCTTTTGGTTTCTATTTCATTGATTTCTGCTCTGATCTTTATTATTTATCTTCTCCTGCTGAGTTTAGGCTTTATTTGCTGTTTTTACTCTAGCTCCTTTAGGTGGACACACCAGTAACTCTTGTAGTTAGCATTCTATTAAGAGTTCTTGCCAGGACGCCTGGCTGGCTCAGACTCATTAAGAGTCTGCCTTTGGGTCAGGTCATGATCCCAGGGTCCTGTGATCGAGCCCCGCATTGGGCTCCCTGCTCCATGGGAAGCCTGCTTCTCCCTCTCCCACTCCACCTGCTTGTGTTCCCTCTCTCGCTGTGTCTCTCTCTGTCAAATAAATAAATAAATAATCTTAAAAAATAGAGTTCTTGCCAGGAGTCTGTAATTCTATACTCTTTACTCTTTAAATTTCTGGAATCCAAAAATTCAGCTTGAAGTAGTTACTTTTTATATGTATGTCTGAGAGCTGATAGGCTGGGTAAAGATCATCTCTACACCTTCTGGAAAATTCTCTCGTCGGATATTTGGCATCTCCCTTTGTGCATACAACAGAGGAGCAACACTGAAATCAAGTTCTGTGTTTCAGTGGGAAAACATATCCCCCTAGCTCCCTGACCACTAAATGAAACCACAGCCAACATCTCTTCTTGGATTTATACTACCCTTTTCTCCAACTGGTACATTGGAAAGTCTGACTCAGTAAAAATGTGGGGTGTGTGTGTGTGTGTGTGTGTGTTTAAAGAAACCTCCACAATCCTTCTAGTCTTACGTGTATAAATGCACTTTAGTGCTGACAACAATCAGTTCATTCTACACCAAATAGACAATCAGGTAAGAGGAAATCATCTTTAAGAGCATAGCTTTTGGCTGGGGCTACCTTATTTGGAAGAATTTGAAATGTTGTTATGGCTTGCCAGGCTCTGTGGCTGGAGAACATCTGATACCAGTTTAAGATTCCATGGTTCATTAAAGGATTTTGGTCTGTTCCCTACTCTTTTAGTATTTCCTTAAAACAGACTTTAAGATTTTTCTAAATGGACAGATTATTTCTCTGAGTTTATTTCTGTTTTTCCCTGCATTGTCTTTTTTCCTAATTGTGGGGATTTACTGTCACTGGTGGTTTGCTTTTGAGTTCTTTGAGTCCGGGTGGGAGATCATTTTTGGCTTCAGACTGGAATGTCCCAGAATAACTGCTGTTTAACAGGCTACTTGTGTGTTGCAATTTTAAGGAACTCCCATGGTTGAGGCTGAGACTATCTATAGGCACCAAATAGAGTGGGAATATTTATATTTCTGATTTCTGTTCTAAGACTCCCATCACTTCAAAGTACATTTAGCCCAACTCTTTACTCAGACCTGGAAGAAGCAAAGCAGTGTGTGGACATCAGAGAATATACTATAGACTGAGTGTTGGTGTCACCCAAAATTCATGTGTTGAGACTGGTTCTGGGTAGTTTTGCTGTAAGCATCTTTGCCACAAATGTTTTTGCTACATAACTAATTGGTTGTCAGGTAATTTTGCCATAAAAGACAAAATCACGAACAATAAAAGAGGGCTATTCATTAAAAAGGACGTAACAAAACATGAAAAATGAATGACAAAATTTAAAAGACTGTATTGCAGAATGCAAAACATTGGAATGTATCCAAAATATATAGCATAGGTTCATGGCAATATTGCCCAGATAGCTGGTTTTATTTTGTGAATTGTACCTAAGTATTTGTCTTCAAAATCTTTAATTAAAAAAAAACCCCAAAACCAAAAACAAAATCTTTCATTCGTAGCATTATACATTTTTTTTGCTTGTTGACACGTCTCCCTGTTTAGCATCATGCTTTATCTTTTTTCACTAAAATTTCTTCCTTCATTAAGAGAGGTATCAGTTTCTAAATAATAGGATGCATGTTTGTAGATGTGCTTTGTATTGAGTTGTGAAAGCCTTTCACATTGTTGTTTGTTTTTGGCATATTGTTCCATCTCCATTTATAGATGTTCCAAAATTCCATGGGGAATGGGGATTAAAACTCTCTGCCACTGTATAGACCATTATGAAGGCTAAGGTTTATATAATATATATCTACAATATAAAAATGGATCTCTGCATTAATGGAAAAATGAAACCAAACTATCAACAAGTTTTTTTTTAATCATTTACAGCAAAATTGCTGTATGGCCAATTAGTTGTGCAGTGAACATGCTTGCAGCAGATGTTTACAACAAGGATACTTACAGGGCGCCTGGGTGGCTCAGTCGGTTGGGCGTCTGCCTTCGGCTCAGGTCATGATCCTGGGGTCCTGGGATCGAGTCCCGCATCGGGCTCCCTGCTCTTTGGGGAGCCTGCTTCTTCCTCTCCTCCCCACTTGTGCTCTCTCACTATCTCTGTCTCTCTCTCTCAAATAAATAAAATCGAAAAAAAAAATTAAAAAAAAAAAAAAAAGGATACTTACAGCCGAAATACCTGACAAAGTTTCAACTTCAAGCCCAGATGTGATGGTATTTGGAAGTAGAGGTTTGGGGAGGTAAGTAGGTCATGAATGGGACTCATACCCTTACTGAAAAAAAAAAAGGTCCAGAGGGCTCCCCTTACCCTTCTGCTACGTGAAGACACAGAGAGAAGACAACTGTCTGTGAACCAGATAGCGAATCTGCCGGCACCTTGATCTTGGCCTTTCCAGACTCCAAAACTGCAAGAAATAAGTGCATGTGGTTTAAGTCACCCCGGCTATGGTATTTTTGTTATAGCAGCCCAAACACATTAAGACTAAATGTAATAGCGGGGCACCTGGGTGGCTCAGTCATTTAAGCATCTGCCTTCTGCTCAGGTCCTGATCTCAGGGTCCTGTGACTGAGTCCCTCTTCCGGCTCCCTGCTCGGTGGGGAGCCTGCTTCTCCCTCTCCTCCCTGCTGTGCTCTCTCGCTGTTTCTGTCTCTCCCTCAAATAAATAAATAAATAAAATCTTAAAAAAAAAAAAAAGACTAAATGTTACAGTAAGAGGCAGGATTTTAATTCTAAGTGCTTTTCAATTATCCTGGGACCTTGTTAAAAGACAGATTCTGAATCAGTAGGTCTGTAGTGGGGACCAAGCCGTTGCCTTTCTGACAAAGTCCTGGATGCTGCTGCTGCGGCTGGTGTAGGCACCATATTTTAAGAACGCTTGGTCTGAACTATTTCCCAAATTTGCCACCAGAGGTGGCTGTTAGATATACTGAACACTGAATCTTTCTCTTAATATTGATTTAGCAGGGCGCCTGTGTGGCTCAGGTTAAGTGTCCAATTCTTGATCTCAGCTGGGGTCTTGATCTCATGGTCTTAATCTCAGGGTCGTGAGTTCAAGTCCTGCATTGGGGCTTAAAAATATATCTATATCTATATAGATATATATCTATATCCATATATATAACTTAAAAGATAGATAGATGATAGACTGATTGATCCAGAGGTCTGCATTGGGATCTTTAGCCTGCCCTTTCAAGAGCCCCTTCATGCTCTGGTTCCAGACTACCTCTTCACCTGATATAGTAGGACTCTTCTGCTGCTCCGTTCATTCATTTTCCTCTCACCCTTTCAATCTGTTTCTTTCTCTCCCCTCCCTCCTTTCTTCCCACATATATTTGCTGAGCATCTCCTTGGGATATAGATCTGAATAAGACAGAGAGACTCTGCCTTTACAGACAATAGATAAGTAAACAGATAAGTAAACAGGAGAATTACAGTTTGTGACACAAGCTAAAAAGGAAATAAATATGGTGATATGATGCAAAGGGGTAAAGCCGAGGTAGGAAACAATTTAAGCCAAGGTTGTGAAGGGTGTTCTCTAAGGAAGATAGTTAATCTAAAATTCATATCCGACCCTCCAATCTAAGCCATACTACTTGCTGAATGTGCCTGTGTTTTGGGAACACATTGCCTGTGTTCATGCTGTTTCTTTCACCACGAATGCCTTCTCACCAATCCCATCTACCAATTAAAAACCAACGTAAATGCCACCACCTTCATCCAGGTTCCCCAGCCATATGTGAGATCTCACCCCTCTGAGCTCCTGAAGCACCTGCTATACCTCTGATCTTGCCTTGATTTTTCTGCCTTAAATTGTAGTTGTTTTGTAATAATAATGGCTGCATTTTGTGAAAGCACACTATTAATTTACATACATTATCTAAATTATTCAACAACATTGGGAGCTGATCTTATTATCTCCATGTCATAAATAAAGAAACTGTAACTTCGGAGAGTCTAGGTAACTTGCCCAAAGTCTCACAACAAATGAGTGACAGAGCTGAGATTCAAATATGCCCTCCCAGTTGATCTGTCCTATCTCCTGTAGCAAATCTTAAGCAACACAGAAGTGACTACTTTGTCTTTATATCCTTCAATTAAACAAACAAAAAAATCAAGTTGCAGAAGAGCTGTAACATTTGTGAAACACAAAGAGAAAAAAGAAGAGAACAGAATTCCTCTCCCAAATTATATTAGTTTGCTAGGCTGCTGTAACAGAGTACCACATACTGAATGGCTTGAACAACGGAAATTTATTGTCTCACAGCTCTGGAGGGTAGAAGTCTGAGATGAAGAGGTCAATAGGAACATACTGCCTCTGAGGGTGCCTGGGAAGTATTTGATCCAGGTCTTTCTCCTAGCTTACAGTAGTTCCTTGGCTTATGGAAGCATAACTCCAACTAATGTGCACATGGTGTTCTCCCCATGTGTGAATCTCTGTGCCCGAATTTCCCCTTGTTATTAGGATACCAGTCATATGGAATTAGGGGCCCATCCTACTGACCTTGATTTAACTTAACTAATTACATGTGCAACAATCCCAGTTTCAAATAAGGTCAGATTTTTAGGTAGGGGACTTAAGACTTCAATATATGAACTTTTAGGGGACACGGTTCAACCCACAATGCAATTCTACCACGTAGCCTCCATCACAACGCTGATCCCTTAGCCAGACACCCTGACATGGTTGTTATAGTTGTCCTTTCTTAAAACCAACATTACAGAGGGGTCACATGATCAATTTAGACAAGTTTTATTGCACTCACATGGAACCTGGTTTTAGCTTTGGTCTTCGAAAGATTCTGTCAATCTGACATCAGTATTAGCTTTTCACATAAGCAAAAAGGTCATCTACTTAGTACCAAAAGCTTGGTCTACTTGAAGCTACTCTTACCTGTGATTCCTTCTGCCTCTCACGAAAGGGCTGAGTCAATTTCTCTATATAACATTACAATACCTACAAGTTATGGTTGATGGTGCTTAAAATGCTTAAATTTTATTTCAAAATGGCTTTAGCTTAGTGAGTTTCACTAAGTTTCAGCGGTAAAAGGAAATGAAATATTAATATCAAGAACTATTCCCATCAAGAAAGAAGTTGGGCTGGTAATTTAGGAAGCCCTACATGGGAAATGATCTCTACATAGTACATCATAATGCAAAATAGGTGAGAATGTTGCAAAGTCAAAGAATTAAATGTAAAGTTCAACCAAGCACAAATTGCAGGGGCATGTAAATGTGGAGAATATTGAAGAGGCCAAGTGTAGCATTTTGCTTAAGGGACTGCAGAATTCCTGAGGACAGGGACTCTCTCCTCTGACTCAGCTTTGCTCCCCATCGGTGCCTAGCCCAGGGCATTACACAGAATCACTTTTAATACGTTAAGTTGAATGAAGTGTTTTTTTGTTTTTTTTTAAAGTATCTTATCCCTCTTAATAGAGATAGGAAGCATTCACACTTACACTGTAGAAGTTAAATAAAGATGGGTAGTGTTTCTATATGCCAGGAACTGTTTTAAGTACAAGCAGGGAATGAGGTTGGCTCTATTATCTCCACCCTAAAGCTAAGGGAACAGAGAGATGAAATAGCTCACACAACTAGGAAATGGTAGCCATGGGAATTCACACATAGGCTGTTTACATTGAAAGCCCACATTTGTACATTGTACAATATGTCCATTAACACCACTGGTGAGCAGCCAGACAGCTTTTTTTTTTTCCTAAAGAATTCTTCAATTGAGATGTTTACTGTCAGCTAATCAGTGTGTTACTCCTGTTGAATTTAACAAATTCAGTGTGGTGACTAAGCATTCCATCTTTGATAGTTCTCTAGACCTAAGTTTAAGCTCTGGCTTTGGTATAGCTTGGCTATGTAACCCTGTGTTATAAACTTTTCCAAGACTCCATTTCATCATCTGGAAAATAAGGCCAATGATTCCTACCTCATAAAGTTGTGATTACATGTTTAAAGCATTAGACACAGTGCTTGATACGTAATAAAAACTCAAATGATATCTAAAATGTATACCTATTTTATAAGTAGTATTTCATTGTATGGATATACACAATTTGATTATTCACTGTTAATACATATTTGGATTGTTACTAGCTTTTAACTATTACAAATAAAAGCTACTATGAACATTCTTTTTTTTTAAAGATTTTATTTATTTATTTGACAGAGAGAGACACAGCAAGAGAGGGAACACAAGCAGGTGGAGTGGGAGAGGGAGAAGCAGGCCTCCCGCCGAGCAGGGAGCCCGATGCGGGGCTCGATCACAGGACCCCGGGACCATGACCCGAGCCGAAGGCAGACGCTTAATGACTGAGCCACCCAGGCACCCCTACTATGAACATTCTTATATAAGTCTGCCAAAGGAGTTTAAGAAACTTGCCAAAGGAGTTGTACCATTTGATATTCCCACTAGCCATGTATGAGAATTCCAGTCCCTACACATTCTCGTCAGTGCTTGGTATGGTCAGTTTTATTTATGTATTTATAGAATTTGTTTTACTGTAGTAAAAAATCATAGAATTTACCATCACTATTTTTGAGACACAGATATATATATATATATAGAGAGAGAGCATGAGCAGGGGAAGAGGCAGAGGGAGAAGCAGGCTTCCCGCTGAGCCAGGAGCCCGATGTGGGGCTGGATCCCAGGACGCTGGGATCATGATCTGAGCCAAAGGCAGACGCTTAACCATCTGAGCCACCCAGGCATCCCACCATCACTATTTTTTTTTTAAGCGTACAGTTCAGTAGTGTTAAGTATATTTGCTCTGTTGTGAAATATTGTACATAATGTTGCCGTGAAACATCCCCAGAAACTTTTTTCATTTTGCAGAACTGAAACGCTATACCGATTGAACAACCCCCCACCCCCTTCACCTTGCCCCTGCCAACCAGCATTCTACTTTCCGTCTCTTTGAATCTGACTACTTTAGATACCTCATATAAGTGAAATCATACAGTATTTGTCCTTTTGTGACTGGATAATTTTAGTTAACGTGATGTCCTCAAGATTCATCCATGTTATAACATGTGATAAGATTTGTTTCCTTTTTAAGGTGGTATAGTATTCCTTTGTATGTATAGACCCCATTTTGTTTATCCATTCATCTGCCAATGACATTTGTGTTTCTTCCACCTCTAGTTATTGTGAATAGTACCACTATGAACATGGAGGTACAGACATCTCCTAGACCATGCTTTTATTTCTTTGGGATATATATCCAGAAGTGGGATTGCTAAATCATATGGCAGTTCTACTTAAATTAAAATAATATGACTAATTAAATTAGTAATTAATTTAAGGTAATTAATTAAATGAGCAATTAAAGTAGTATTGGGGGGCCCCTGGGTGGCTCTGTTGGTTAAGCATCTGCCTTTGGCTCAGGTCATGATCCTGGGGTCCTGGGATTGAGCCCCACATCGGGCTCCCTGCTCAGCGGAAGCCGGCTTCTCCCTCTGCCCCTCCCCCTGCTTGCACTCTCTCCCTAAAATAAAATAAAATAAAATAAAATAAAATAAAATTGTATGAGGAACTGCCATACTATTTTCCAAGGTGGTTGCACCATTTAAAAATCCCACCGACAATGCTCCGACTTTTCCACATCCCTGTCAACACTTGTTTTTCCCTTTCCTTTCCCTTTCCCTTCCCTTCCCTTCCCTTCTTTCTCTTTCTTTCTTTTTCTTTCTTTCTTTCTTTCTTTCTTTCTTTCTTTCTTTCTTTCTTTCTTTCTTTCTTTCTTTCTTTCTTTCTTTTTTTTTCTTTTCTTTCTTCTTATAGTAGCCATCCTAATGAGTATGTGATATCTCATTGTAGTTTTGATTTGCATTTCTCTGATGATTAGTGATACTAAGCATTTTTTTCATGTTTATTGGCCATAAGTTGAACCATCCAGGAATAAATTCTACTTTGTGGTGGTGTATAATCCTTTTAATGTGCTATTGAATTCAGTTTGCTAGTATTTTGTTGAGTTTTGCATCAGTATTCCTTGGGGATATTGGTCTGGAGTTTTCTTGTAGTGTGTTTATCTGGCTTTGGTATCAGCATAATACTCATAGAAGGAATTTGGATGTGTTCCCTCTTCAATGCTTTACAAGAGTTTGAGAGGGATTGTAGTTAATGCTTCCTTAAATATTTGGTAGAATTTTCCAGTGACACTATCTGGTCTTGGGCTTTTCTTTTTTAGGAGGTATATATATTTTAATCCTTGTCCTTAGAAACTAGAGAGACTATACATGATTTGGAAATGAGACTACTAAATAATAGCCAAAGAAGAATAATCAATCCATTCTCTGCCTTCTCTTTTGTCTGGTCACCCAGAAGTGTATTACCTGTTATGATGACCATTGCCTGTCACTTGGAATTATTTTTATCTGTGCATTCACCTGAACCTACCTTCCCTTGCACATCAATTAAAGACCCCTTTTCACCTACTGGTACTCCAAGTCTCTGAGGCCTGGCTATAATATTGATATTCTGTGCCATGTTGTCTTTTGACTGACATTGCCCATTTGGTATACCCCACTTTCCTCTCTGATCGCCACATCTCATTTCTGGTAGAGAAAATATTGTTGCTGGATTTTTTTCCTTCCACTTGTATCATGACAGAGCCCTGACCAACTTTCCCAAGTAACTGCACACAATTTAGAGATCTTTTGAGAACCAAACAGCTAGCTATTTGAGACTCATGTCTTGCAAACTGACGAATACCTGTAATTCGGGTCTTTAAAACATGGCTTCTGCATTTTCTTACAATCTAATCTTAGTCTTTTCCTGATGCTCTAGCCCAGACATCTATGAGCCAGGGGAATCTGTTGGGAGGTTTTTGTTTACTGATGCAATCTTCTTAGGAGTTATGGTCTGTTCAGACTTTCTTTTTCTATTGATTCAGTCTCCGTAGGTTGTCTGCTTCTAGGAATTTTTCCATATCTTTTAAGTTATCCAATTTGTTGGTATGTAATTGTTCATAGCAGTCTCTTCTAATCCTTTTTATTTCCGTAGCATTGGTAGAAATGCCCCCTCTTTCATTTCTGATTTTAGTTATTTGAGTTTTTTTCTCCTTTTTGCTTAGTGAATCTAAGGGTTTCTCAATTTTTTTGATCTTTTCAAAAAGCAACTCTTAGCTTTGTTGATTTTTTTCTATTCTCAATTTCACTAATCTCTGCTTTAATCCTTGTTATATCCTTAAGATAATAAATTTATGTTATTTTTAAATCACAATTAAATATTTTTTCATTAAAAAAAGAAAGGAAGATGGGGCATCTGGCTGGCTAAGTCAGTAGAGCATGCAACTCTTAATCTCAGGGTCATGAGTTCAAGCCCCACATAGAGCTTACTTAAAAATAAAGAAAGAAAGAAGAAAGTAAGCAAGCATATCAGTTTGCTTGGGGTAAGGAATGGGAGGGAGGGATTATCAAGGGTCATGAGGAAACTTTTGAAGCTAATGGATTTATTTGATTGTGGTGATGGTTTCACAAATACAAATATATGTCAAAACTCATCAAATTGTACACTTTACATATATGCTGTTTATTGTATGTCATTATACCTCAATAAAGCTGCCAAATTACAGATTTTCTAAAAACAAATCATATTTAAATTTTTAGATATACATCACTACAAGTGATTTTTTCCTAAGTGTAGTCTATTCAAAATTCCTTAACTAAAAAGTCAATATGAGTATATTTGTCTCCTTTACATTTTCATAGCTCTCCAATTTTGATTCTGATCTGCTGTTACAATTCTGAGTCCATTTGTCTCAGTTTTCTTCAGAAGAGGTAGTACCTCCAAGGATTGAAGTTCAACAGAGATACACTTGCAACCATTTTTCAATTAGGCTTTCATCATGATGTCTTCTGATAGCTATTCATCCCATCAAAAGAGGTTGTATCAATGAGATGATATTGTTTTCTTAATTTTTTAAAGCATATAGCATTTATGACATTATTGCAGACATTTCATATATTTAACTTAGAAGGTTTTTTTATTTTTAAAAAATATTTTATTTATTTACTTAGAGAAAGAGTGAGAGAGCATAAGCAGGGGTAAGGGCAGAGGGAGAGGGAGAAGCAGGAAGCCCACTGAGCGGGAACCTGCCACTGGGGCTTAATCCCAGGACCCTGGGATCATGATCTGAGCCAAAGGCAGATGCTTAACCGACTGAGCCACCCAGGTGCCCCAGAAGTTTATTTTTCAAGAGCTTTATTTATCAACAACAAAACCAGCAATGATGTTATATTACCCCAGATGGCTTTAAGATGCTAATTGTGTGGAAGAATTTATACAGTTTAAACCGCAAATATGACTACTTTTACACTATTGCCTTTAAATAAATCTAAAGCCCCTCTTTGTTAAAACATAAAACACTAGTATGTGCTATATAATAAATGATTTTATTTTTTTAATAGTATTTTAAATACTATTTATTTATTTATTTTTTTAAAGTAGGCTCTACGCCCATGATGGAGCCCAATGCGGAAACCCAAACTCATGACCATGAGATCAAGACCTGAGCTGAGGTCGAGTCAGTTGCTCAATCAGCTGAGCCACCCAAGCAGCCCGAGATGAAACATGTTTTAAGGTAGCCAGACCTAGGTGCAACTGGGCATTTTTTTCTTTGATTCTTAATGATGACCAATGTAATCACACCAGGTTCAATGCAGTCGAAAGATTTCTTCTCTGCTTTTGTCTTCAAAACTAGAAATTTGCCCTCTTCGTCTAATTAATTCCATTATATACTCCACATACAGCAACTTCAACTCCACATAGTGGCTTCATCTGCAATTTAAATCTTACTAGTTCCAGTCACCCTTGTGGAAGGCTGTGGCTTCTGTGTAATTTATTCAGCATTTTGTTCAAAAGATATTTATTGAGCGTCAAACTATGTGCCAGGGCTCTCTACCAGAGACACACACAGTAGCAAATAAGAAAAACATGGTCACTCTCATGGAATTTATAGTCTAATTGGAAGACAGATATCGAACAAGCAATTATAAGATTGATGAGTGTTACAATAAACGAAGTACAGGATGTTTGCTATGAGAACATTTCTTTTTTCCTCTGGGCTTCAGGAGGAAAAACCACCAGGTTAAAAAAAAAATGATGGTGTGCCCTCCAGCCCCCTGCTCCTGGCAATCCAAAGGAATGATTCCACATAGGGAGTATCTGTATCAAGAATTAGAAACAAGCCCCTGTAAGTATTTTTTTTCCTTCCTTTTTTAGGAATGTAGAAGCATCCTTCTTAGCAATTGGCATATTTCCAGCTTAGCTGCTGACGGCATAAGACTAGGTATCTATAACAATTCTTTTGGTTTTCTCTTGGCGACTCCAGTTGTTCCCATTTTATTAGCTATCCCTGCCTGGGAGATACAGAGAAACAGCCCTTAAAAAGAGATTGCGTTCCTATGTTTTGAAACAATGGCTGAGGCAGTGGTTTGACAGCATCTGCAAATCGGTTTCAGGAGAGCCTTGAAGAGATTTTTCTTTTTCCCTTATGTCTTAGATTTCTTGAAATACCTGGGAGTTCTCAGAGAAAAGCCTCTGTGGATTTTTAAGGCCCCATTTACAAGTCAATCGTATTTTTGCTATGAAAACCATTTGGTGGATCTATGCGCACAGTTAAGCTTGTCTGGGAGGAAGTAAATGAGCAACTTGGGTCTTCTGCAGGATCCGTGGGTTCAGCCTCACCTCCAGTGTCAGCAGCAGCCAAAACAGCAGAAAAAAAGAGGGTTGCATCTGGTTAAGAATACAAAAGAGAGAGAAGGCTAACCTAGGATTATTTTTCAAACCAGGGCTAAGCCAAATAGAAGATAAATGACATGTTTACATGTAGAGTCCTATAGAATTTAGGCTAGGCCAAGAATGCAAGCCTGCTCAAGTGAGTTGCCTTTTCTCCATGATCTGTCACCCTAGCTCACGGAGGAGGGGACAGGAGCTCTGGGGCCTCCCGGCCACGCAGGTCTGGCTGCCTCCCTCAGCCTCCTAACAGCCCTGGTATGCAGGAGGAGGGGTGCAGGTCTGTGAGACTAGTTCAGCATTTCTCATGAGTCTCTACTTCTTTTGGCTGGCGAGGATGAAAAATTGTCCTGGCAACGGACCAGGGATGATCAGGCAGCCCCTCTGTGTGAATGTTAACACCTTGGGTAGAAAGAGCCCTGAGCTTTGGGAAAATCATGCAACCTCTCTGGGTCTCATTTTTTCCTCATTTTAAAAGGGGCTAGGTTAGAAGGCTGCGCAGCTGAATTGTGTGGGATACTTGTTAAAAGTGGGTATTTCTGGCCCACCCCTGCAGATTCTGATTAGTGGTCGGATGTGGCGGTAGGAGGTGGGAGTGGGGTGAGGGGTGGGAGGATGGGTTGTGGTCTGTTTTTGAGAAGCTCTGTGGCTGATTCTGCTGGTGACCCGTATGGTTCTGCTCTAAAATCCCTCAGGGATGGTTTTGGGAAACCACAAAGTTAATATTCCACAAGGAATTCACAAGGGAGGTTTTGGGAAACTAGGAATTTACCTAATATTGTACTAGGTAAAGTCTCACAATCTATGCCGAAAAGAATGTATTTGTTGCTCTTCCTCCCATCTCCCAAAGAGGAATCTGGGTTGATCCCAAGGTTATAGATATAATAATAATAACAATAATAGAAAATTTACTACACACCAGCCACTGTTCTAAACATTTCATATGTCTCCATAAAATTCTCTCAACAACACTGTGAGGTAGAGTATTACTATTATCCCCAGTTTACAGGTGAAGAAAGCAAGGCATAGCAAAGTCAAGTAACATACATGTGGTAACACAGCAAAGTGTCCTGGCTGGATTCAGGCTGGCTCAGGGGAACTTTCTGTTTGGAGAAACTCAAGTAGTGTCCCTTTTCCTTTGGGTGGCAGTGGCGTTTTTGTGGAAAAAGCCCAGGGTTTGGCATAAAACACTTAACCAAATTCTGGTGCAACTACTTACCAGCTGTGTGATCTTGGGTGACCTTACTTAGCCTTGCCAAGTGTCTTAGTCAGCTCAGGCTGCTGTAACAAAATACCATAGACTGGCTGACTTGAACAACAAACATCTATTTTTCACAGATCTGGAGACTGGGAAGTCCATGATCAAGGTGCCAGCCAGTTTCATTCCTGGGGAGAGGCCTCTTCGTGGTTTGCAGAAAGCCATCTCCTCGTTGCACCCTCACCCTGCGGGGGTGGAGGGGAGTCCCAGTCTCCCGCTCTTCTTAGAATGGCCCTGATTCCACCATGGGGGCTTCATCTTTATGGCTTCTTTTAAATCTAATAAATGTTCGAAGGTTCTACCTTCAAATTCCATCACATTGGGAGTTAGAGTTTCAACATAGGAATTTTGGGAGGACATAAACATTCAGTCCATAGCACTAAGCTTCAATTTCTTTATCTGCAAAATATATATCACACCTATTTGTAAGGTTTAACAATGAAATAAGATTTTTATAAGGCCTTAGCTCAGTCTCATAATAAAAACAAAGTATTCAAACTTTTCCTGACTATGTATCATGTACTGTTGAAGAAAATCTAAAGAATAATAACGATTTATGGAATGCCATTCTTTCAGAACTATGCTAAATGCCTTTATGCATTGTATTCACTGGATCCTTCATAACACCCTGCAAGTATCATTAGTAAGTATTGCTATCACTATTTTATAGATAGGGAAACTGAGAGGCTAAATATTTTCCTGAAGTCACAGTTGGTGACTAGCAGAACTGGGAATGAAATCACATTGTGTGCTCTGAGTTCTAGGATATCAGCCTCTTCTGTTTTTATGAGAATATATGAAACTCATTATTTAAAATGGTCATGAAATAAATATAAATGAATATTTTTTACCTAAGAGTTCTGAGGTTGCAAGAAATGTTTACCATGAGCCTCACAAGGAGAGAATTCAACTCTTTCATCTTAACAATGACTTTATTTGCTGACTAAAAATAAGAATACATGGGGAGGGGGACTTGGGAAGATATTAGTCAAAGGGCGTACGCTTTCAGTTACCCAAGACTACGAGGTCCTAGAGATTCACTGCACAGCATAGTGCATATAATTAACACACTGTATTGTATACTTAAAAAACTGGTTAAGAGAGTAGATCTTATATTAAAGTTTTTTTTTTTTTTTAAAAGAGGGAGGGTGGGAACTTTCATGGGGGATGCTTATTGCATTGTTTATAGTGACAGTTTCTTTTTTTTTAAGTTTTTATTTATTTATTTGGCAGAGAGAGAGTACAAGCAGGGGGAGTGGCAGGCAGAGGGAGAGGGAGAAGCAGGCTCCCCGCTGAGCAGGGGGAGCCCGATGCGGGACTAGATTCATGGACCCCGAGATCCTGACCTGAGTCAAAGGCAGTTGCTTAGCCAACTGAGCCACCCAGGTGCCCTACAGTGACAGTTTCATGGGTGTATGCTTATCTTCAAACTCACCAAGGTGTAAACATTAAATATGTACAGCTTTTTTTGTATGTCAATCATACCTCAAAAAATATATATATAAAGACACATGATCTTACAATGGGACAAAATGGCCAAAAAGGAATACAGTAGCCCTGATCTCTGTTTTCCCCCTCTCCTCCCACCCTCCACTCTTGACATCTATTACCAAAGGCCAACTTCAAGGAGAGAAATATAGCTCTGAAATCACTGAGCCTGAGGGAAACGTTCTTTTCTAGAATTCTTTAGTGTGTGAGCTGTCACCCAGCCCCTAGTTTTCTGTTTCTGACTCATCAAGGGGTGTAGAAACATTTATACTCTCTCCTTTGGAAGAATTCTTCTGTGACCTTTTCCACCTCCAGCCCAGCCTGCAGGCTGAACATGTTGGTTAAAGACAGAAAAACTTAATTTTTAGAGAAACCGATAAACAAACTGGGATTGAGTTTCCTTTTTAGGAAAATCTTCTAGATTAAAAAAAATCAGTATTACTTTTAATATTGAAAAAATGAGTTGGTTATGAAATTCTTGGGAAAAAGTATCATCGTAGTATTGAAATTTTTTGAAGAAACTGCAGTATAATCGCAAAACCACACCACTGGTATTAGAAACAAAGGCACTGACAGAAAAACCTCTTTTCCAACATAACCGGAAAAATGATTATAACCACCAAATCTCTGTCAACTCCAGGGCAATGCCAGAGAAACCCCACTATTCATCTCACCAACCCCAGATAGTTAATCAATCACAAAGACAGAAAAATGAACAGTGAGGACTTCTAGAATTTAAAGAAGTTAACCCTGGGAATCTTGGCACCGTTGATGCAATGGCCCCTCAAGTTAATATTGAACAAACCATACCATGAGCCGAAGAAAGATAAGCAAAATATGTGGGGTTCTGGTGCAGCTGGATTGAGCCACTTGTGGGACTAGGTCTCACAGAAGGTTCTAGTAGGAGTGGCCTGGTAATAAATAACATTTTGTGATAATTAAACAAGGATTGTTACTCACAAGAATTGTGGCCAAGAAATAAGCCAAAATTTATTCATGTTTTTCTGTTTTAATTTTGTTGCTGACCTTATCTTTCCAACTTGTAATTTTGATATGGTCCAACTTTCCTCATCTACTTAGTTTCAATTTTATTTAATCATTATAGAAATAAGCTTAAGTCCCTAGAGAAATCTGTAAGCCACTCGATAGTTAAATACTTATTAAGACAATGACAGCAAGAAATGCTCTTTTCTCTCCTCTCTCTTTTTTAAACAAAGATTGGTGGAGAATCGGGTGATCTCAGGCCTAAAGTATTTGGCTTTCCCCTTTGTTCAGGACTCCTGGTAAAGCAGGGGTGGCCTGGTGATCTACAATTAAGATGACAATCTACCCCCCCCCCCGTCTTTTGCCCCAAGCTTTGCATGTGTAAATTAAGCCTTTGGGGTTTTACAAGATGCTAGTACTTTTAAAGACTGTTGATATTATTGTCATTTTGATTAACAGATTTGTAGTGATTGTAATTAACCTCAGCCAAAAGATGAACTAGAGATTTTTGCGAATTTGAACAAAATCTACTAGTATTACTTTTAAAAACAAAAAACAAATGAAATAACTCCCCTTCCATAATTAATTTCAAAGGACAACCATCAAAACAGTAGTCTTCCCCAAAGAGTGGGGAAATCTTTTAAATATGTATTTTAAAGGATTTTGCAACTGCAAAACAGACAAAAGTCCCTCCACTTAAAATTTGAAGCTAATAAACTGCTCAGAAATCTTGCTAAGCTAATGAATGAGACCCGTTTCCTCAAGCTGTCCCTGATAACGTTGTAGTTGAGGGAAGAAAAAGCTCCTTTTCCTACCCCTCTGCCATGGGAAGAGCTGGAGCTAGAGGCTTGCTAAGAGACCACACCTAAGGGAGGGGTTTATCCCTGCCCGGTGAGCCTGGGTCCAGTAAGCCCCGCTAAGACAGGATGCAGGTTGAGTACAAGTCTGGCTGGAATTCCCAAAAAAGAGGCACAGCCAGGGTGGGGCAGAAGCACAGTCCTCCAGATCCACAGCTGCTATCAGTTTCCCAAACTGTTTTTAGAATCCTCAGGGCTGGGGAGTGGAATAGGTCGTGCTCACTCCAGATGGTTTGGTTTGCAAATCTGGGAAGAGAGCCAGATAGACCATTTTCTTCCATAATTCTGGAGATGATGTGTGCTCTCCAGAGATGTAAAGTCATAGACTTATAGAACTGGGCCTTTGGAGATTATGTAGTGAATCCATCTACTCATTTTACAGACCAGGCGATGAAGGCATTAAAAGTTAAGAACTTTGGGCCGCTGGGTGGCTCAGTCAGTTAAGCATCTGACTTGGGCTCAGGTCATGATCCCGGGGTTCTGGGATCCAGCCCCTCGTAGGGCTCCCTGCTGAGCGGGGAGTCTGCTTCTCCCTCTCTCTCTCTCCTCCTCCCTCCCTCATGCTCTGTCTTTCAATAAATAAATAAATAAATAAATAAATAGATAGATCTTTTAAAAAAAAAGTTAACTTGCCCGAAGTCATTACATAGTTGGTCTCTGGTAGAGCTAAGAGTTGAACCCAGTGTTTTCTTCCAAATCATCCATATTTGATAAACTAAGTAGATAGTACATTAAAAGTTTAGGTATAATTTGAAGATAAATAAAACATGAACTTCGATATATATAATATATATATAAATTTCATGTCATGTATATTTTATTACAATTAAAATTATGTATATTATATATATAAAACGTATAAAGTGGACAGTTCAGTGGTATTAAGTACATTCACATTTTTACAATGCCCTCTTTCTACATGGAAATGGAAGAACTTAACCAAAAATATTTTTCCCTTATTAGTTAACTACTAAATGGACACATACTGTGTGACCAATACCATGGTAGGATCAGACAGACTCTAGACCCTCAAAGAGCTTTTAATTTGTTCAGGCAACAAGATACAGAAATAAAGAGGCTATAACTAACCATAAAAAAGCAGTATATGATATGTTTTAAATGAGTGTACTGACAACAAAATGTTAAGACTCCAAAGGACGCAATCATTATGGGATGAGTACTTAGGAAAAGCTTCCAAGAGAAGACGGGCTTGAGCCACATTAATAAAAGGGAAGGAGAAGCCATGAGAGGACATTCCAGAAGAAAGAACAGAGTGACCAAAGGCATGGGGGTGCTCTACAAAGGACTTTTTGACAAAAAGTGGATTAAGAAGTCTGAGAATACCGAGAGTAGTTTGCTACTAAACAGAAATGACCAATTTTATCCCATAGGCAATGCGAGCTCTTTAAGATTTTTGAACATCATGATCACCATGCTAACAAGTTGCTGTGATGGGAAAGTGCAGGATGGATTGAAGGAGGAAGAGCTGGATGAGTGAGTCCAGTTAGGAGGCCATGACAGAAGTTTGGGTACAGAGAAGAGACGGGGTAATCGGTTAGGGAATGCGTAAGGCAAATGGGTGAAATAATGCAAAGGAAGAGTCAATAGAGTTTACTAATCCATACTGAGAACGGGGAGGAGAGGCAAGAATACTAGGTTCGAGCTAGGATTAAGCTACAGAGACCAGAATTGTACCAACTGAATGGACTGAGTAAGTCAAGAGAGGGAGAGAATACTAAAGAGAAGCTCCATTCTGGATATGCTGAAATAGAAATGGTAGAAAGACATCGAAGTAGAAAAGAGAAAGTACCCAGAGAAATGTATAAAGTTGCACAACTGCGAGGTATTATTGAAAAGATTTTTTTAAAGCAATTCTCTTAGTTTTTACCTGCATCTTTGGGAACAAAGTGTTGATCTCAACCTAACCAATTGAAATGGGAATGATTAAGCTGATCACAATGTATGATATAATCTTCATATGGATGTATGAAGATTGTAACTCAAAGGCAAATATCAGGTTCACTTTATAATAATGGAGAAAGAATTGGAGACATAAAAGCCTTTTAATATTGTATATAGTTGAGAATAACCCTATGGAAAATTGAAAATATATCCAGCAACTTCAATTCTGGTTTACATTAAACTGCTGGTTCAAGTATTCCAACATGGTATTATTGTTATGAAATAAGTTTAGAAAAAAGAGAAAACATTGTGTAAAATGGTTTTGTACTAACGGTACAGAGCAAATAAAGGGGGATCAGAGCAAATAAAGCTTTATTGTTTATGAAGTCATTTAATTTGGCATCATTCTGACT